ACTACTTGTGATACTAGCGTGGTTTTATAAACAACAACACAAATGCACATCAAATATGTTGCTTCCCTATACAAAATGCGTGTGATCAAAGGCACAATGTGTGTGAAGAAAATATTTAATCAAATGGCTGATGAGCTAAAATCCCAAAATGTTAGTTTGTTTGAAAAAACAAGCATACACGATTTAGATCTAAAAAAAATGTTTTATTTCCATGTGTAACAATTGTAAAAAACTTTTATTTCGTTTTTTTTAACGGGGAAATGCTTTATGCATACCCTCGAGCCCGGGAGACTCGAGGGTGATGCGGCACTGATCCTCCAGTTGAGGGCGCACCCTGTTTTCCGAGTGTTGTGGGCGACGTGGGATTCCGCAGATTCACCATACGACGCCCCCAACAATCGCGAAAACCTAAGAACTCGATTTTTTATTTTTAGCTGTAACATATTCGGACATTTTCGTTACACCTGTGTGCCGTATGACAGCGCCTTGGTTTAAATTTAACATTAGGAAGCATCACATCAAGATATAATTTTATTATTAGCGTACTTACATACTAGTAATATAAAAAAACTTAATTATGAAACAACATACATTTTACAAGATGCAAAAATGCATTGATGAGTAATAGTAAAAAATGTGCTATGCTATTTTAAAATTCCATCGTGTCGGTTCTAGCTTTTTCTCAAAAAAAGTATTACTGCGGAGTTAGTGTAGGCTTCGGGCGATTGCTCTTTTTACGAAATTTTATTTCAATAATAGTACACTTACTGGGAGACCCAAGGGCTGGCATCTTACATCCAACGTCCCTGACAGAATTTTTGCCACCCTGCTGTAACCTAACCTTAAATTTTTAAACTGTATGTTTGTTAGTAATTTGATTAGGACTTAACGTAGTAGAAAGTATAGTCATATTATAACATGACAAGTATGGCAAAACGTAACAAACTTAGTAACCAGAGTTATAATCTCGCGATGCACTCGCGTTGTACAGCGCTAGTCCCACGCGTCTTTCATTAGTACGCGAATGTGAGCGTCCGTACTCGACACGCGGCTGGCATGCACACATACAAACCGTGCTGCTACGTTTGTATAGAGTTACCATACTTGTTATATTATACTACAGAACATTCTATAGCTTCAAAGGACAGTTCTACTCTTAAGAATTACAAAGTGTAGTGGTAACATAGTTAACGATTGTGATAAATCATCCGCCGTTTTTTTTGAAATACAAGACGACGGCAGCATAATACGTGTCATATGTAGGAAGGTATCTACGATTGGTCAAGAAGATAATAACATTTTATATTGCGATTTTATGTTATTAATATTTCCAATAAGAAATAATCTTAGACCTGATTTACCAGATCTATTCTCAGATTAACAAAAACGTTGACTTCGACTAAGCAAAAATGGTGACTAAGCAAGTTTTCGTATTTACAAAACGAACTTGGCTTATGTTTAAGCAAAAAATTACGCAGTAAACTCCAAGCTTAGTTTAAATTCTTGCTTACTAAAACAAGCTTTGCCTAAGTTTGCAAAGCTTGTTTCGTGAATATGAAAAACTTCCTTAGCTCGCCATTTTTGCATAGTTGAAGTCAAAGTTTGATTTATAAATGTCAGCTTCAGTCATATTCACTATTCTATAATTATTTATAACCTTTAAATGTGTATAATCAACAATCAGTCTAGTAAAAATGAAAGATTTTTCCCGATTACAAGCAGTGCCTATATGTGTAAGTGCCTGGATGTTAGCAAACTCAGCTAATATGCAATTTAATATGGAACAAAAACTCCGGACACGCATCGGCCGATGCTCCGTGAAAATGCAGCCAAGGCCGGAAAATAAAGGAAAATGTATACGTGATTTTTAACTTTATATACCTGTGAAGTTGATATGGTAAAGTATCAATCTATGTTGTCTCACATGCGATTTTATGTATTTTTGGTGAAGGACTAATAATGGCATCAATTCGGACAGACGCAAACTAATAATATCTAAGAATAGGACACGAATTTCTACTTAAGAGCGGTTATTCACGGCGACTTCCAGCAGCGTGTCTGCAGTGATTTAGTTACACGGTCGCTAATCGTCTGGCTTACACATGCGCGGTTTAAGAAGCAGTAAATATTGATGTAAACGCGACACACGTTTTAATGATTCAACATCGCGCGTTTGCTTCGATGCAATCGCCTGCAAAATCACTAGTGTCGCGATACAATCGCGCGCTGCACAAGTTTGCATCGCTGCTATAAGTCGCTGTGTGTAATCGCTCTTAGAGCTGTAAAATTTTAGTGGCGATACTAACAACACAAGCCATGTCATATTTATTTATTGAATATTATGATGTTTTGGCATCATAATTTTCATATAGTTTTTTAAGAAACACTTATTTGTAAGATCTGCTAACTCGTTGCGTAGCTCAGTTGGTTAAAAGATGTCACCTCGGCATGGCAACAGACCCCGGTTCAAATTTCTTTTATTTTATTTAAAAAAAAAATATATTTTTGTAATACCAAGTATCGGGACGAACAAGTCGTGCGTCTGGTGTTTAAGTGACACGCCTATCCACAACAGTTGCAGTGCCATTCGGAGCTTTATATCGCAAAGATCTGAGGGGCACTGCCATTGCGCCCTGCACTCTGGAACATAAGTTGACAAGACCTCTGTGCCTGTGATTTCACCAGCACCCTTATCCTTCATTTAAAACCGGAACGCAGTAATACTCACGTTACCGTTTGGCGCTAGAAATAGGTAAAGTGGCAGTCCTTCTCTGGAGAACTATTTCATAAGGAGCTCTCGAGAGCTCGAGAGTTTCGGGAAGACGAGTGCTTTGGCAGTGCCCCTCAGATTTTTGAGATTTAAAGCTCTTAGTGGCACAGCAACTGTTATAGACAGAAGTGTCGCTTATTACCAGGCGCACGACTTGTTCGTCCCATCACTTGGTATTAAAAAAATCCCAGCACTACGTCCTGTGTCCTTGTAAAGAGATGATAGTAGCGGATAAAAAGAGGACGCGTGTATGATCTTTTATAAAGCCTTGTTTTATGTCCCCAGTCTTTGGCGCTGATTTTACAAGCAAGTTTCGACAATCGAAAATGTAAAACATTTCCTCATTATACGAAACATGCGGAACATCTAACATTTTATCCAATTAAGAACGTGCGGGATGACCGTAAAAAAGACAGAAAATGAAATTTTCTTCAGAGGAACATTCTAATTTTTTTGTAAACGCCCGCTGTTTACAAAAAAAATTGAACTTTCTTGAATAAGTGCCTACTGAATATAATTAAAATCTTTCAATACTTAGAAGCCACATTGATTTCAAAATGCATGCTTGTTGTTATTATTTGAGAGAGCAATGAAATTGATTAATAGACACCTGCCCACTTGAATGTAGCTTCTGTTCAAGTGATTTTAGTATGGTGCGTTGGCTTCTATGTTTTATACAACGTATGTATATCCAAAGGAATTGCGCAGAGTCGTGGTATACGTTAATACGTATACCGTATGTATTACGTAATTATGTGTTATTAGGGCGAATTTATTTTATGAATGGGTGTCAGTATTATCAATACCTTTATTAAAAAACAGCTTTGATATTCTTGAATTATGGAAACAATTATGACTAAAGTTATTAGCTTAATAAATGCATTTTTTCAAACATAATTTAAAAATAAGCAATCCTTTTTTGGCTTTTTGCGATTGGCATTTCAGCCACTTACAAGTTTTTGTTTACTTTTGTTTTTAAAAGGGGGAAACTTATAACATAAAAAGGAAATTTGGGAATGGGATTAGGAAGGCGAAGACAGAGAGAAAAAAGGGAGAAAGAGATCAGGCGAGGAACTGTGAGATATAAATAAATAATTAGTATAAATGTAGGAGAAATATGATATACTTACACAAAAGCAAATTTTTTATATTATTTTCTGAAATAAATCCAGATAGATTACTTTAAAATTTGTGATGTTTGGAATTCCGACTAATGCGATTTTTGTTTTTTTTTCAAATATCGAATTTCACATCAGTGTGTTTAGACAAATACATCTAAAAGAATTTTTTTTATGTTATATAATTTTTTTTATATATTATTAATAAAAATCTAATTAATTATAGTTACTGCTACAAATTAAAAAAAAATAGCAAAGATCAATAAACAATGGTAACAAACAAGTAGTTGACCAAATATTGTCACAAAGATTGATGCATCGGGATGTTTACAAATTGCTATCAGTCAAGGAATTTTGATTATTGTTGTTTCCATTACGTCCCAATCGAGGCATTGAGAAACTATAAATTATATCTATATTTTGTGTCAAGGTATTAAATAAAATCTAGGACATATGATTGCAAAAAGGGGAAAAAAAATTGATAGATACAAAAGACATCAACGGTTCACTATTGTAAAGATGTTATTTTGATACTGATACATAGTTAGTTAACAATTATACATCATATGTCCTACAATTCCTTTGCTTATAAAATAGTTATCAAACATAATTGATGCTATAAAACTCGAGAACAACACGATGATTTACAAAGTCAGATATTGTGCAATGAGAATTCCTATTTAATATAAAAAGTTAAATAAGAAGTAGACAGGTAACAAGAGTTGCAATTTATTAATCAGTGGAGATAATTGTTTCTAAAAAAATACAACCTTCTTAACTACTCATGTTGTTTACTATTGTTATTTTACATTTACAGGTGTAATCTAATTTGCAATTAGCAAAATTAGCAATCAATCTACGTCGGCAACTTAGTGATTTGCTTTAACTAGAAAATCAATTAACAATGTAAATGATAATTAATAAAATATCTATCTAATAACAAACCTGACCAAAACTTCGGCCTTTAAAACAAATAATGACATAGAAACCGATTGATTCGCAACGAAATGTGCGACCTTCGGAAAACAAAATGCAGTTCATGCTGCGATCTCTGCTCGCAGAGTAATCAACTGCACATAGCATATGGATATAATATGCACTAAGTAACTTACCGTAAACAAGCGGTCGCTTTGAAAATGAACTGTGCACCTCCAAGTTGTACAGTCACGAAACAAATATAAACAAACACAAAACTGAACAGTCAGTTCGTAGAAACAAAAAGAAAGTATTGATAAAACAATTGATCGTTCAAAAACACCACTTCATTCACGTTTCGTCGAATGGGTCGAGTAAGTTTCGTCAACGAGAGCGAACGAATCACGCGTACGATGCGCGCGACGGACTCCAGTCGAATGATTCAAATTCGAACAGTGCACGCTCGTACGCGAATATTGTGCTTGCTGCGTTCGGTCGCTGTCGCCTTGTGGGCAGACAGACCGCATCGGAGTAAATTAAGTCCATAATGCGTTAATATGCATATAATCGAAGATCTCTCGACATCCGGAGGGAAAGAATCTGAATTCGACCGTGATTTTGATAAACCTCAACGTCATGCACAGTGCTTGTGTCATATAATTTTTGGGAAGTTTAAAGTAGCAATTAGTTTGCGAATTAAGTGCGGTTATCGTATGTAAATCATTATTACTCCATGAATGATAATTAGGATTTGACACACCTCTATATCAAGGTCTACTAATTGACACGTTTGCTCTAGGCTCAAGATAAATATCATAGTCCTAACTATTTCTGACGCAAAGCAACACTGTGTTCTAAATTAAAGTAGGTAAGCCAGTGCAATCATAGGCACGGGAACCTTAATCTTCCGTCTCACGACCGGTGGAGCTGCATTGGCGCTTACTATCGCATTTTCCATCAGACTGTTTTTTGGTTTTTATTAATGAAAACACTTCACGTAAAGAAGCATCAGGGTGACATGCTTATGAATTATGGTACAATATATAACAATGTCAAAATAAAGTTATTGTAATAGCCTAGTGACACAAATCACCCATACGATCTTTCATTGAGAGCATGTCCTTCACGTCACTTTCGCAAGTCTCCGACATCGCGGTCCCGCGGGTGACGATGACGACACGAGTGATGAGTGAAAGTGACTTGGTTATGTTGTTTGTTTGTTTTGCAGCCTCCCTCAGCCCGTGCCGCGTTTATTTAGGTGTGACGTTTCCACTTTACACTCCTGTTGACTAGGTTACTCTTAATTATTTTCCTTAGGGTCCATTGATGCTTAATCAAGATGTGTCAGCATAAATTTAGTTAGACACGAGGTAATATTGTGACTGTAATGGCATATTATTTGTCATTATTAATCTATTGAGTTATCTTTATCTAAATAATTCTAGAATTATAATTATGCAGCTTTAACAATTTGGACGTGATACCTTAAACATTAGATTCATCAAATTGGTTTACTTTTACAAATATGCGCAACAAATTGGACACCGAAAAATCTTTTGTGTAAGCACCTGAGCAGGTGTCACGCGCTACCTGGTTACCCGTAAGGCACCCCTTCCATTGAGCCCCAGATTTGTTTAAATAATATCAGTTTAAGTATTATTATATGAGCGCACGTGGAAGAGCTTATGCCTGTAAAAGCGAAAGAATTATGTTGAGATATAAAAATACTGTAACTGAGTCGTCGATAAATCTGAGAATATTTAGTTAAAAGTTGAAGCAAATGAACTATTTTATTTATTATAACAAATAATTAAAGATTTATTTATTTTTATTTATTATTTTTAGGACAACCAACAAGACATGAATTAAATATAACAAAGTTGAAGTGAGTGATACAGAGACTTATACTAAATTCCTTAATTAAAGGTCGCCACGGCATGCAAATGTGATCACGACAGAAAAAAGTAAACTAGTTGATGGAATGAAATTAAAAAATAACTCAAAATAAACCAAACAAAACAAATCAAATAATTGAAATAATATAATAATATAAAAAAATAATATAATTAGCTACAATTAATACAATATCATTATTAAAAAAAGTAACTATTAAAAACAAGATAATCTAATATATATTATATTATATATATTTTATATATATATTTTAAATATATGCATATATTAAAAATACATACAAATAAAATTTATGTGAATCGCAATTGTGTTATTCGACAAGGCTCCGCGGTGCCGTTTATTCAAAAACTGAATATTTACACAAAAATTAAATTATCGTCTCGCAATTACAATCTAGTCAAGGGAGCCATAAATAGCTTGTGAGGGAATATTAAGAAAGCAATTTCGCTTTTGTAAATAATTGTACAGAAACGTTTTCTTTGTGTTAGAGCAACGCATACGGTATTTTCGTGACATTTTCCAACGAGGTGTTACCTGATACCACACTCGAGTAGATTTAATCGATTTAATTTTAATACTATAGTTATTACTTTTGTATATTGACTATCTTACTTCGAAAGGAAAGCTACGTAAATGTACTTATTATTTATGAATTCGGAAGATGAGCAGGAGCATCCAACTTCCAAATTTGGCAGTTATGGTAATAACACTTTTATTGTGATGAATGTAGTAATTAAATTATATATGAATATGTATAATTTACTTTAACGTAAAATTTTATATTTTCTTTGGCTTTTGGGATGTTTAGCAAACTTTACCTAAGAATAATTTATTTCAATCGTAATGATATAAAACAGAATACTTTAAAAAATAATCGTATTACGCACATAAGAAAAAAATATGTAAAGTATTACCACTTATTACCAAGATCATATTTCCATTAATGTACACCTTAATTGTTTCTTGTTTCGCGTTTGTTTCTATAAATTTCAATAAACAAATATGTAACGATGTTTATTATCATAACGCACGCACGTTGTATTTTGCTGCTTGGTTGTTTTTTGTATTAGTGGATAATAAACGTACTTATCTGTAGTTACTTTGCATGTTGATTTTGTGTTAAATAACATGTGATAAACTATTATTTTTTCCTTTAAACCTTTTTTTCATTGTATAAAACAAGGTAAGTCTAAAGATTACAGATTATTAAGTATATAGAAGATTATTATACACTTACCATTTGAATTTAAAATTGGTCCATTTATTGGTGTAGGTTACGATTTTCCCAAAATAAGGTCGGTGTAAACAAAAACAAGATTATATATCGTTCCGTCATTGACCCGATTGTAGACATTTGCCCATGGAATCTGCCGAAACCAGTGTTATAAGATTTTAAGTCACAGATTCGAAGGGATATGTTAATGAGTATATATATATATATATATATATATATTATATATACTACGGCATATAGGATATGCAGTCACCTAAAGAGTCAAAAACGCTGTAGAATTTTAAGAAATTTACCATTGAAATAAACATACTAAGATTCGAATTTATTCCGGATGATATCTTATCAAAAAAACTTATTATAACTTATGTAACTAAGTTATGCGGACAATTTCTATATTCAGTGACTATTTGTAACTATACCATCTAGTGCTATGGACTTACGATACTTTCGATTATTTCGGAGACAAACATTATTTTAAACTTTTTGAAAGACTTTATTTAAGCTCGGTACAATTGTTCCCGCTGCCGTTGTATAGTCCAGTACAGGCTATTACAAAAATAATACGGTAAACAGTTGCACATTAAAAAAAACTACAAGTACAGTATTAGTAATTGTAAATTAATTCAGTAGCTTTGATTATAAGCAGGTTCTTGTAGATAGTTTGTGGGAGCTATTAAATATCAATTTGGCGACAATTTATGTCACCTCGGTTAATGATAACAATATTTCAACAAGAGACTTTCTGTAGGATTTCGCTACCAGTTTAATTATACTACTAATTTTCTCACCTAAATAATTCCATACGAGTTGCCAGAGGTATACACTATAGGGCCAAGAGCACGTCAAGCTTGACACATAAAGAGTTAAATTCAACTTCACCACATGCGACAAGAACGATCTAAAGCGTCAATCTCGTAGTAATGCAAAATTTATTATTGCACGCAAATTACTGAATTTTTTAAATTTACTATTATTAAGGACAACCAATACACTAATTAAATATTTAATTTGGAGATTACCTACACTACTGATGTAGTAATAAATTGTTGAATGCCACAACAAGCAACAGTCAAACACAACAAGTTATTTATACAGTTATTAAAACTTTAACTATATATAAAATAGAGTATATAGTTACACATAGCACAAGATTATATACATTGACAGTGAATGTTAATTGAGTGGAATACTGGCAAAGTGTTTTATAAAGCAGACAAAGAAGAGTTTTTTTCTATTACATCTAGCGACGGGACGAACAAGGTGTGCACTTGATGGTAATCTTTTCGCCTATCCATAACAGTTGCAGTGTCACTCAGAGCTTTAAATCACGAAGATCTGAGGGTCACTGTCACTGCGCCCGTCACCCTGAGACATAAGTTGACAAGTCATACGTGCCTGTAATTTTACCAACACCTTTATCCTTCAAAACCGGAACACAGTAATGCTGACACTACTGCTTGGCGGCAGAAATAAGTAAGATAACAGTACTAACCTGGACGAACTCTTTCACAAGGAGCTCTACTGTTACTTTAGATTAAAAAGAGTTAATTTTAAACGATCTAATAGATTGTTAAGACGTGCTTGTACTAAAAATTATTAACTCAGGTGGTAACTTGGAGTACAACACAACCCAATATAAATGTATTGAGAAGATTAAACACGGATATTCACCTTTTTTAAAAAAAATACAATGTCATTTATTCATCGTGAAAATCCGGTATGGCATGAAAATCTGTTGTATCCGTATGATAACCCTGACATTAAATTAGCCTTTAGTGCTTAGTGCTTGTCAAGTGTCTTTACACTGTATTATGTAGTATAGCATCAAGACACTTGACAGTTAAGACTTAAATTTAACTCTGTGCCTCTTGTGATAAGAACAGTCGAAAGTCCAATATGTCAATCTTGAACTGCTCTTAAATATACCATGGACTTTTTTGTACTTTATGTAATAGGATTATCTATAACGACATGGATTAACGCTAAAGTGAAAGTGGATATGAGTCAATGAAACTCAGGAATGTTAAGCTTAATTATCAGTCAGAAAAAAACATAAGCCTCCGCGCGTAATGTTAGCGTTGTTGTCGATGCGGAACATGGTGATTTGTTACAAAATATGATATAAGTATTACATATGTTTTTCCACAACAGCATCTTTATATTAGCGACAAAGTTTGCTTACCCTTGTACGAATTCGCTTCCTCCACCTCACACTCTGTACGAATTGAATATTTCTTGTATTATCCTAAAATTTAGCATGTATTTTTTGAAGTCAAA